GTACTAATTCCGCGCGGCTATTTGCATCCGGGGAAAGGAACGCACTAGCAAAGTCTAAAGTTCATCAAATATCGCGGGCGCATGGCTATGGTTCACCGTTCATGGGTGGTCATCCTCACTGATCTCAAAAAAGTAGCGGACTGTCGTGAATAGCGAACAATGATTGGTCAAATTTGAAATTTGCATTATAACGACTGCATGACGACAGCGAAATGCCGAAATTACAAACATTGTATATATTGTATTTTTGCAAGATTTTTTACTAAAAGAAGGGAGCAAAGTCGCCAACGTTAATTAATGAAGGTAAGTTTGCTTTTAATATTGATGTAGATATTGGTGCAGATGTCCGTAATGGTTTTACCGATTCATCATGTATAGATGTAGATTGTAGATGTATTGTTTGCTTTATTATTGTTTTAAAAACTGATAGGATCGTTATTTATATAATTAAGTGAAAAAAGACAGCATATAATTTCGGTGTATTTTATTAATTACCCTTTCTTATAAAATCTTTAAATAAAGAGGAAAGAAAAGTTATTTTCATGCGAGAGTTTGAAATCAGTTTATTTCAAACTCAATTTTTTAAAACGTTTTGTGAAGCGTTTGTGGTTGAATTTTACATTAAATTGAAGCTTGTATTACGTATAATAACATACCTAGCACATATGTTTTGGAAATTGATCATTTTGTAATTAAAAGTAATATTTTTAGGGGATTCCTCAATTTTAAAACTATTCTATCGTGTTACCATGACAACTACTTTCAATACTTCATGTTCGAAATACATAATGGTTTTGTCAGTAAGGCGAGGGTTTCTGCATGCTTGTATTTTCAAAAAATACATACATGCAGAAACCCCTCGCCTTGCTGACAAAACCATTGTATTTTCCGAACATGAAGTATTTAAAGTAGTTGTCATGGTAACACGATAATTTTGTTGAGAATATTTTTACAAATGAAAAATTTCCTAAAAGTATCACTTTTAATTACGAAATTATCAATTCCCCAAACATATATATGTTAGGTATGTTATTATACGTAATATAAAATTCAATTTAAAGTGCCTATGTCATGATTTGTATAATTTATTACTTGTAATCATTGGTATATTTCATGAAGAAATGCAATATATCTTTAAAAGAAAATATTCCATCTTCACAGGATTATCAGGCCTCAAATTTACCGGATATGACATCAAACCGGGAATTGCAAATTAGATTTCTTTTGTTTCTAGCGTATAAAATTCCCTATTTGATGTCATATCCGGTAACTTTGAGAGGTGATAATCCTATGAAGATGGTATATTTTCTTTTAAAGATATATTGCATTTCTTCATAAAATGCACCAAAGATAAAAAAAATTTAAAATCCCAAATCATGACATAGGCACTTTAAAGTAAAATTAAGTTCAACCTCAAACGCTTCCCAAGACGTTTTAAACTGATGTTCTTATGAAACTAAACTGCCTTTATCGACATTGATAAAACGTTGAGTTTGAAATAAAATGATTTCAAATTCTCGCATTCAAACAACTTTGCTTTCTTTTTCTTTATAAAAAAATTTTAATATAATAAAAAAGGGTAGTCAATATAAAGAAACACTGAAATTATATGATGTCTTTTTCATTTAAAATATACGCAACGATCACTCAAGCTTTTAATGCAATTATAAAGCGAACAATACATCAATATTTAAAACAAACGTAGCCTACCTACCTTCGTTAACGTCGGCGCCTTTACCTTGAAATTGACGGTTATAAATTGATTAGACTCGATCGGGAGAGGAGGTGGTGTCTGTGCCTACATTCGCAGTAGCATTAAAGCCTCCCGTTTGAAAGACCTATCTTCAAATTCAGACACAAATTTCCTAATGCATATCAACGATATGCCACAATTATCATTGACAAGTTTATTGGAATCATACGTAGATGATTCCAAGCTTCTAATCTCATTTATGATACAGGATATGTTGACAATGCGATTCAAGACGATCTTTCTGGAATAACGTAATGGTGTTGCGAGAACAAACTATTAGCTAGTACAAAAACGAATAAGAAAGAATTCCAATCCGACCCGATCCGAAGAATTCTTTAATAGAGTAAATTTCTCATTCAAGTTGAAATATTTAACCAAATAAATATAAAAGCAAGAAATATATGCCAAGAAGCTGACAAAGTGACGTCCAATTGAAGTATCAAACGAATAATGCAGCGACAACCGAGATAATCTTTGATAAATGCATGGATCCGGATACTTAATTGTTGCGATAAGGCGTGGATAATTAGTTCATTTTGTTATACATTGTAGTTGGTAAAAGCAATTTGATTGGCTTCTTTAAGAGCTTACAGTTAAATCGCGCAATCATGCAACCTACAGAAAATTCCGTTATCTGCTAGCAGATAACTCAGTGTGAGCCTGCGATTAGCAAGCGGTATCTATTTACAGTCAAAATACAAGAACCTTTCCCACTTCCGCTTCTGTAACCTGTTTTGTATTTCTGTAATTTGTTCTATTTTCTGTAGCGATTTATTTCGACAAATATCGCGGTAGAATTCCCCTTTCTTTCCTTTATATATGTCAATTTGTAGCAAAGGATACACATTTCGTTACACTCTTTTCATAAAAGTTCCGAAATTTTCATTTTAGTACGTGAAATGATTGTAGTCGGTAATTTTAAATTTGTATAGTATGAACACACTATAGGCGGCGGTTTAAAACCGATTTGTCAGCAAATATCGCTATAAGATCTAAGTTTCGCAACTTTTATGCAGAGAATCTAACGAAAGGTGTATCCATTGCTACAAATTGACATATATAAATGAAGGAAAGCGAAATTCTGCCGGATCCTAACGCGATATGTGCCGATAAAGCGGTAATCGCTACAGAAAATAGAACAAATAGCATAAATACAAAACAAGTGGCGGAAGTAGGAAGGTTCTTGTATTTTGACTGTAACACAAACAAATGTATAACAAAACAACAAATGTAACTAAAAATATAAACGTTCTCCGACTAAACATGCACGTTGTTGTAGCAAATGTAACTTCATGGTTGGTTCACGAATACGATTTTTATTCACTCGTGAATTATTACAAGGTCACTCGTTTGCTGCGCTCACTCGTTCACTTGTAATAATCCACTCGTGAATAAAAATCGTACGCGCTCACCAACCATGATGAAGTAATCTCTATTTCCAGCAAGCAGAATGTTGAGGATAGTGCAATATGATGCTTACATTTTCAATACTGCTTTCTTTCACTAGTTAACAATTAGTCACCGAAGGCGAGGTGATTTATACAAGCCTTGTAATCATCGAGCCTGAGGTGACTAATTGTTTTGGTAGGCTATAAATTCAGTATTGAAAAATAATAATATATACAAAAGATGTAAATATAACTTACTTCACTCTTCCGGTTTTGAGTTAAACGAATCCAGCTGTCGGAACCTTGTCCCCAGATTCTGTTATTTTCCGCTTTTAAATTGCCAAATAAATTGTTTTAGGCATCTGAAAGATGCTTTTGTGTTTCGGAAATAGGTTAACACCATATATTGCTGTTTCTTTTGCTTTTTATAGAGGAGTAGTATATATGCCTTTAATTGCTCAGAGCAGTCTGAGTAGTAGCTATTGCCTCGGAGATACTGCTGAGTGAGCCAATCAAAATGCTTGAAAACTATTTTTCAATACTGAATTTATACTAACAGCAAATAGAGAATTATATTAAAACGGAAGATTCACTTCGCTTGGATTTGAATAAACAGTACGCTGCTTTATGTATTCCATCTACTCCAATGTCAAATATCTCTTTGTGGGTGACCTTGGGTGATCTTTCAAAAGCTAGCATGCTCACAAAGAAATTTACTCCTAGTCAACCTAAGGAACCGTATAATCGACCAGTTGGGCGGCCCTCAAGCTATGTAATTTGAATAACTACAGGGGTCGTGGATCGAGACTTGGTTCAGGTGCTTTTCTGGGGTTCGGCCGAGGTCAATCCCGAAATTATCAGCAGAAGAGTCAGAGACCCAAAAGTAGTCCCAAAAGTAGAAAATCAGGTAAGTAATTATCAAACCATACAAAATTTGATTATTATTTAAATTAAAAATCAAGCCACATTTAAAGATGGCATGTTGAGTAATTTTCACGAGATGTGGAAATGACTAACCTCTGATCAATTTAACTTGGATGCAATTTCTCATTGTCATATTAATTTTGAGACTGAGCCTTTAGATAATACAATTGTAGTGACCTAGACAGTAGTGTAATTTTACTCACACCGAGCAATCGATTATAGATGTGGAAATTGCTGGAAGTTTTTGAAAAAGGAAATTATATAATCTTCTCAAAATGAAAGTATTCAGTTTATTTCTCCTATCCCCACTACGCCTACAAAAGATGCCTCGCATAGGGTTAATTGTTCGCTCTTCATGATATTCCACCATATTTTTAAGATCAGTGAGGATGACCACCCATGAACGGTGAACCATAGCCATTTGCCCGGATTATTGATGAACTTTAGACTTCGCTAATGCGTTCCTTTCCCGGGTGTAAATAGTCGGACGGAATTAGTACCCCCGCACCGAGCATACGCGCGGCCGTTGACTCGGGGGATAATAAATATACGCGGTGTTGTCCGCAAACCAAAATTATACATCGTGTTTCCTATCGGAGATAACCAACCCCACGTCTTCACCAGCGAGGACTTCCTCGCCTCGGTTGCCAAAGGGATAATATATTCATATAATTCGCGGAATTTGATTGGTTACTCAGCTATCTACCACCAGACCAGAACAAAATGTCTTCCCATTTTGTTCAGGTTACAGAATTCAGACGAACAAACTTTACTAAACCAACCTGTGGTCTTGTCATGCAAGCAAAAAGAAAGCCAAACGTTTTGTTCAATAGTGTGATAAGATATTATCAAATTGCTAGAACCTTGTAACTACTCTTTTGTTTACAATATGATACCTAATTTTATCTGTTGAATAACATTCAAATCCAGCATCCTTACGGTGCCCACAATTGTGATCTCTTAAGGTCTAGGACGGAGGAGACAATTAATCCCTTACTTTGTCTTGACGTTCGGCGAAAATCAAGTTCTAACATGATTGCTACAACAAAGTGCGATCATGTTAGAACATGACGACGTTACTAATTAAACTGATGCTGCTTAAGCGTTATAATTTGCCGCATGTGCGTAAAACTTAAATTAACTGCAACTTTACCTGATGAATAACAATCGACTCCAGCGTCTTGATGATGGTTGCAATTATGATTTCCCCAACCCTTATGGGGACAACTGGTCAAATTTTGCTCTACTCCATTACATTCGACATCTTTTAACCATATCTGTCCAGTACCACTAGGAACCTGACCTTTTTGAAGAGCCCTTAGACCATATTTATATCCAAGTTGATGACATACAACATTGGCGTCATTTATATCCCATTTATGATCACAGATTGTTCCCCATTGCCCTTTGTAGAGTACTTCAACACGGCCAATACCATTCGCACTTGATGGTCCTTGTAACCTGAGCGGAATCGCTGTAAACATTAAAAAGTATAACTTAGTACAATCAATTTAAATATCAACATTTACTTCAAGTTAGAATGGTCCGAAATAAAAGAACTACATCTGATTCCACTAAACAACAAATATATTCTGAGACAGCAAGTTTTGATATTAAAATATTTTCATGAGTATTTCCTTGGTGTTTTTATACCAAATAATGCTGTGTTTTTGGTTGAAAATGGAAGGTAAAATTCCTAAAATCGAAATTTCAAACACGAACACAACATTTGGTGGATCTGGTAGCAGTTTCCCGAAGAAATGTATATATATATATATATATATATATATATATATATATATATATATATATATATATATATATATATATATATATATATATATATATATATACATTTCTTCGGGAAACTGCTACCAGATCCACCAATATATAAACTTAAGTTCAGTTTAAGTTCAATAGAGTGATAAATTATGTGATGGATATACTTGTCACTTGTGACAAAGCTCCAGTAACTTGTACATATTAAACAAATAAATAGCATTTCTCGCATTCTATAACCTATAGAAAACTATAACCCCAAGAAGGCGACATTTTATCGTTATTCTATTCATTGTAGTTTCCTTCTCCCACTTTTGCCGAATTTCAGCTTTTCACAAGAACTGACATGGCCGTGATTTGCAAGTGGGAGGGTCACGGGCCGGGGGTATTTGATAAGCAGTAAGTATAATTAAATGTACTTTCATGCGTGAAAGTTTCAAAATATTATTGCGTTTGTAATTTATCTCGTTCTGAAATATATTTCTAGAGGAAGTATAAATAGCTTTCTACGTTAACTTTACCTACTGAAGAACATTCAATTCCAGCGTCCTCACTATGCCCGCAATTTTCATTTCCCCAACCAGAATGGAGACAGTCACTCAAACTTTGTTCACTCCCAGTGCAGCGCACGTCATCTAACCATATCTGTCCAGAACCATCAGGAACCTGACTTCCTTGAAGAGCTCTAACACCATATTTATATCCAAGTTGACGACATACAACTCTAGCATCATTTATATCCCAGCTGTCATCACAGATTGTTCCCCATTGCCCATTGTAAAATACTTCTGCACGACCAGTGCCATTCGAACTTGATGGACCTCTTAAGCGGACGGCGATAGATTTCCCTGTATAGACAAGACGAATATCTGAGTGAATGACGAAAATAACAAGAACTATATAGAGCAGCACTGTTGAATTAGAGATGATTATGGCTTGAATACGACATGATCGATTTTGTGGTTCGTTCTTGCATTAATGTTGACTGTATGTAAGGTTCGATTCATGCATGACACCACATGGACCAATAGACACATTATTAGAAAATAAATACTCCCAGTTAAGTCTAAAATTTATATTTCCAGAGAAACAATATATAGCTTTGTACGTCAAATTTACCTGCTGAAGAACATTCAACTCCAGCATCCTCACTATGCCCGCAATTTTCAATTCCCCAACCAGAATGGGTACATTCACTCAAACTTTGTTCACTCCCAGTGCAGCGAACGTTATCTAACCATATCTGTCCAGAACCATCAGGAACCTGACTTCCTTGAAGAGCTCTAACACCATATTTATATCCAAGTTGACGGCATACAACTCTAGCATCTTTTATGTCCCAATCATCATCACAGATCGTTCCCCATTGCCCATTGTATAATATTTCCACACGACCAGTACCATTAATAGTTGATGGTCCTTGTAACCTGAGTGGAATGGCTGTAATGCAAATGAAATCAGCAAAATTGAAGGTGCCAAGTGAGATAAAAAATAATCGTGCATGGTTTCCTATGTATCTAAACACTCGGGAGATTTTATATAGTGCGACACTGTACATGTTTTCAAGAGGAATTAATTAAAGCATTCATTAAAACGGTAAAAAATGTTTTAAGAAGGCTAGCGAACACTATAAACAACACGAGATCAATTAAAATAAGAACTATATGTACCCACGGTAATATGTACTAAAGTTTAATGGTATTTGTTTTCCATTAACACAAACATAAACCAGGAAAATAAAAACAGGGCGTTAGCCAATTGCGTTAGTGACCTATTCCAGAACAAATGCAACAAAACACACACGGAGAAGGGGTGCCAAACCACCCTTAGAAAATGGATAAGATTCCAAATTTTGAAATATATTATGTAAATATTGGATAAATTTGGCGGAAAGATTCATGCAGGAAAGGTGAAAGAAAACAGGCAGGTTTATTATTTTTCTTTGCCTCGTACACCCTGAGCCCCCCTCGCCGCCAACATTTCCAGGAAGAATTTTTAGGTGAGTTCGTACTAGAGACTATAAATACTTAATAATTATTATGATATGTGAGAATATATAGAGTAGATAATAAGAACTGATCTAAAAACTGCACTCTTCATGAGATAAAATGAATTATATTACAATTTCAAATGAACTAGTGTGTGCTAAAAGCAACATAATTATCTTTACGCTTTGTTATTAATATGTAATGTAATGTATAACATTACAGTGCCCTGGAGCATGCGCAAAACAACAAGTTGGCCTTTAAATGAGTACATCACAAGCGCAAAGACATACTATATTTGAACTGATTAAATACAAAGGTTTATGATTCCAAACAAGCTAACAGATTAACAAATCAATATGCAGATGTATTTTGTTATTTGAAAGACACTATAGACATGTCCAATTGATAAGTCTTATTACTTAAATTAAACGTAGAATTAACAAGAACTAGTCTAAATATCTATTTCAGTCTATGGAATAGTTTTAATTTCAGCATGTTGTCACATATGAGAAGTCTGGGACCTAGGAAAGCCTCTCATTGTGCCTGTAAAGTCATACTTACAAAATGCTAGCCCAAAATTGATGCATTACAGGATGCAGTACAGTCTGGTGTGCACATTGTAATTTCCAGTGCGAATGGATTGTACCACAACCTCATTTTTAACCCAATAAAGCTTAGTACAGTTGATTGTTTTATTTGCTTTTGCGTGCAGCAAAAAAGGACATTTTTTCCTTGCTAATGGCCTTGTTCCAATGCCAGTTATGTCATGTCAACTTTTGGAGATAAATGTTTAACAACATTCCATGCAGACAAGAAACAAAACTTATCACGGGAACCTTGTCTAGGAAAACTTCTTTATCATACACACAAGAAGGCAAACTTGTCATTAACATAAACTGGTATTACGAATATCACTGATTCTTATATGCTAAACACTGTGCCTTTGGACCCATTATATCATTATCAGGTACACAAGCTTTCCCAGTGTTGTTTATATATTTGACAAACTCTCCCTCAATAAACTCCTCCAGGGTTACACACTCTTCATCAACCATGGCAACTGGGCATGCCACGCCAGTAAACCTGCATCTATTTGAATAATGCAAATCATTA